GCTAGCTGAATTCCAGGACTGCTTTTCATTGACATCACGGGTTGGTCGAACGCCGCTTACAAAGCATCGAATAACTACCCACGACGCAGCAAGGCCTATACACCAGAATGCTTATCGTGTGGCTCCAAAGAAACGGGAAGTGATAGAGCAATAAGTCGCTAAAACGCTTGAAGATGATGTGATTCAGCCATCACAGAGCTCGTGGGCATCGTCTGTAGTACTAGTTAAGAAAAAGAGCGGTACCCTGCGTTTTTACGTGGAGTACAGTAAGCTGAATCAAGTGACTAAGATTTGTATCCGCCTCCGCGTATTGATGACTATCTCGATAGGCTTCGAAACACTCGCTTCTTTTTTTCAATAGACCTCAGAAGCGGATATTGGCAGATTAAGGTAGACCCAAGAGTTCGAGAAAAAACCGAGTTTGTGACACCGGGTGGTTTATATGAATTCAAAGTTCTGCCCTTCGGTCTGTGCTCAGCGCCCGCTACTTTTCCAAGGCTCATGAACACTGTACTTTCAGGGTTAAAATGAAAGACATGTTTAGTTTATCTAGACAACGTCATAGTGTTTTCCCCAACTTTTGACGAGCATCTCAAAAGGCTAGAATTGTTTTACAAGCCATACGCTCCATGGGCCTCACAATAAAAAATTGCCCGCAGCTTCCCTCGGGGGAACACTGAGGAGGATGCGGACCATATAATTGGTTAACGGGGTGTTAAAGTGCGACTTACTTGGGTCGATGGCTAAATTGGTTAACGTGGTTGTGAAATGGGGTGTTAAATTGCGACTTACTTGGGTCGATGGCTAAATTGGTTAACGTGGTTGTAGGAGGGGGTGTTAAATGAGTGAACACGTACACACGTATGCGAAAGGGCGGCGCTGGTCGAAGGGACGTCGATCATTGTGTTTGTGGATTCGTTGGAATTCATTTCACCGCGACCTTGGACGTCGACGCGCCGTACAAACCAACGGACGAGCGGCAACTGAGCGAGCGAGCGCCGACCTTGAGTATATATACAGCACGACGGCGCATGCACTGTCAGCTGTTGAATGTTCTCGAAGCGCGACGCCACATGCGCGTCCACTGGAGAATCAGGAGAATTGTAGATGTCGAACGCGGTGTGTAGAGGAGGAAGGGTGCACAGATGGTGGAGGAGTGAAGCGCGCGCGGTGTGTAGAGGAGGAAGGGATGCACAGATGGTGGAAGAGTGGGCGACGGCGCGACGGCGCATGCGCGCGCGTCAGCTGTCGAATGTTCGAGAAGCGGTGCGGACGGCGCACTACAAGGCGCGAGTATAAGATGCTCCGCATCTAAAACCAGAGAAATGCCAATTTTGCTTTGAAGAACTGCTCTTTCTTGGTCATGTCGTCAGCTGCACCGGCGTTCGGCCTGATCCCGAAAAACTTGCAGCCGTGGCACAGTTCGCAGTACCATCCAATAAGAAAGCTGTCAGGCGCTTTCTGGGCCTATGCGCCTACTATCAGCGGTTCATCGCCGACTTCGCACGGATTGCGTCACCTTTGACTCACCTTACTAGAGACGACGCCACCTTTGAGTGGAACGACGAACAGCAAGCAGCGTTTATTGACCTCCACCAACTATTTGCTCGTTATTCCTGCACCCCTTCGAACTGAAGTGCTTCAAGCAAGTCACACCGAGCCGATGTCTGGTCATTTAGGCTACACTCGCACATTGGCAAGAGTACAGCAGGGACACTACTGGCCACGACTCACAACAGCCGTCAAGCACCACATTCACACTTGCCTCGATTGCCAGCGACGCAAGTCACCTCCAGAGATCCGCCGGTCAGCTGCAACCTGTTCAGGTTCCACGTACACCGTTTCAACAGATAGGAATTGATATTTTGGGACCCCTTCCTACTTCTACTGCAGGGAATCGCTGGGGTATAGTCGCAGTAGACTACCTAACAAGGTATGCCGAAACAAAAGCTATTCAAAAGAGCACCGCAGCAGAGGTGGCAAGAGTTTTCATAGAAAATATTGTGCTACGCGACGGTGCCCCGACTAAGACCACTGCGTACCACCCGCAAACAAATGGACCAACGGAGCGCCTCAACATGACGATTGAAGACATGCTGTCGATGTACGTGGATGTCCAACATAAAAATTGGGATAAAATTTTACCATCCCGTTCGCATACAATACCGCTAAACAAGAAACGAATCGCATGACTCCATTAAGCTTGGTTCACGGACGAAAGGTACGGATATTGCTGGATGCGATGTTGCCACATGAATGGCACGCTACAGACAAAGGCGCTGACGTGTTCACTGAACGCGCGGAAGAAACTAGGCACCTCGCCCGCTTATGGATCCACCAGCGACAAGACTACGACGCAGGCCATTACAATGCTCGCCATAGAACTGCAACGTACAAAATCGGTGACAGAGTGTGGGTTTGGACACCCGTACGAAAACGTTGACAGTCCGAGAAGCTGCTAAGGTGATATTTCGGGCCATACCGAGTATCGCGCCAGCTAAGTGATGTTCCCTATCAGGTCGTCTCCGACAGTCCCCACTCGCCGAGGCGTCGCCAGCAGCAGCCTGAACTTGTTCATGTTGTGCGTATGAAGCCGTATGTGAGTGATTGACTGCACGTTAAAAATACTGTGGGTCTGAATCAGCATCGGGGCGATGCTCCTATAAGGAGGGGCAAGTGACACGTGTTTATATGACAAAGAATGATGATAGCAATGTTTTGTAGATTCCAGCTAGTGGGTAGGGAATTTTTTGGGTCGACAACAAAGCAGGCTTCTTGCTGCACAGCTTATCCTGAACACGCTCTTTTCGCTGCTGTAAGCTGCTGTCATCAATTGTTCGCGTTGCACAGCGACAATATATTTATATATATATATATAAACGTAACCAGCCGTGAGCAGGAATCGATTCCTGCTCATGGCTGGTTATTTTTTCATCCACTTTTCTTTCTTCTTATTTACATTGCATTAGTTCTAACATATTCTCCTGTGCATTCCTTGGCATTACTGTCTGTTAGATCTCATTATTATTGTGTCAAAACACGGAAAAACGAGCCCTTAGGTATACATTTCTTTCTCTATATATATATATATATATATATATATATATATATATATATATATATATATATATATATATATATATATATAGAGAGAGAGAGAGAGAGAGAGAGAGAGGGAGAGAGAGAGAGAGAAAGAGAAAATATTTACAAAGAAGTCGAGGCGTATACCAATACAATTTGTATATAGCCCTGAATTGTTGTGCGTTGTTGGTTTCTTGGGGACCGACGGAGACGTGGTGGCCCACCAGAAAAGCTTCGGTGCCAATAACATACTCCCTATAACCTCTACAATCAACGGGAGCACTATGAATAGCGCCATTCACGGGAGCAGACCACCACCACCAGCTCCAGCGCTTTTCAATTCGAGCTTTTATGTGATGCTTAGATGACATTCATCCTGCAACATACTAGGGCTCAAGATGTTGACGTAGCACACTGCTTTTAGAGCTAAGACGACGCCGCAGTTCTGCTGTAGTTGTCGGTGAATTTCGCGGTGCAGGAACATGGGAACCATGCAAATGTGCTGTTGTGGGTTTTTCGTCACCTGATTTTAGCGCGTTCTGTGACCATGATTCCTTCAGAACTACCATCGATTGAGAGGCGTTTAAAGTGCGACTGTGGTCAAAGCTGTATCGCTGCCATCCCTTTCAAGGGAGAATTTTCAGTGGAGGTCCAAGGACTGCATGTGCTTTCTAAACCAAGAGCTGGCTTCTTCATCCTCCCATGCTTTTCGACCTAACATTTTAGAGCTAGAGCTCTCCTCTATTGGCGAACATCAAACTTGTTTATTTTTTGCGCACTTTAACGAACTTCTGAAGCATTTTTCTGAACAGTCTCAGTAGGAAAGTTTGCAACGAGACTACTGAAGGAGTGCAAAGACGTCGTCATGTTCTTTTGCAATCTTCGTGTTCCAAGCTCTGCATCACAAACAAAATGATCAGCAACGTTACGCAACAACTCATCCGGCACAAAGTTCTTCCATTGTCATGCAACATTGCAACCGTTGTCCACAGTTGCTTCCATTGCGTGAATTTAGAATGACTCCCATGAAAGCTCGTAACGCAATACAGGCGACTGACAGTCGACACGTAAACCTCGAAAAAAAATAATTTTTATAAGACAGTTTAGAAGACCTGTGCAATAAAAACGCATAGCGTTTAATATGTGTGGTTATATTATTGTACCACACAAGCTCTAAGAGGTAAAATTCTATGAATGCACAAGCCATAGCCCACCGTTGCTGGTCTCAGCTGCAAGGCGCCAGTTACTACTAGCCGAGTGCGTTAGCCACTAGACCACCGCGGTGGAGCGTTGGACACAATATTGGCACTTTCAATTTTGGTTTCTTAGGTGATGAGTGGTCGAACTTTTTTGCTTGTGTCCTTAAGTTAAAACCTAAACTGCGTTAAAGGATGCTTCATGCGCAAATGACGGAAAAGAATTGAGCACTTAACACAATCAAAAACCCGAAGACGGCAATTTAGAAGAAAATTTGCATTTTCCACTTGGTCTCTCATATTTTAAAGCCACGCCAATTTATGCGCTAAGCAGCTGACATGCTTTTTCATCCTTTACTCAAAATGACACAGTTCATCTTAGACAGCTTCTCACTGACTGCTTCTACATGACTTGGATTTCGACAATAATGGAGATCTGCTGCTATGTCATGCCAAATGAAATTTCTAGTATATGATCTGTGCCGAGAAGAATAATGCATTTTTCTTGTTGCCCCATTAAGGAAGTATACTTTCTGAGTTTTTTGTTGGTCTAGTATTGATTGAAAAGCATGTGCAACTCCCCGATCAAAACTAGACAAATTACTGCGAGTATCAGCCACAGTTGCGTTTCAAGTGCTGTACCGTGTTTTTCTTTCGGTCATACGTGACACCAATCAACAAGTTGTTAATGAGTTTGCGTCAACTTTGAATGACAACACGCAGGTCCGCTGATAAAAATTGGTGCGAAGGAACAGTATCTGATGTTTCATCAGACATGGAATGAAATGCTGCTGACCGAATTGATAGAGAGCATAAAGGGTAAGTGCGCCTATATACACTTTTGCAACACAAAAATAAGACATTCTAAAATGTCCATAGCGCAAGATGAAAAATGTGTTGAGTTTCTGCCCAAAATGCTCTCGTAAGTAAAATTTGAAAATGGCTTGGCAAAGGTTCTTTCACAGGACCTAGCAAATTGGCTCTCCTTTGGGTAAACTGCACGGAAAATTTGTACTGCTGGTGGTGCATGTTATGTTTTTTTTGCTTATGTGTCGCCCACAATGGTATCAGCTGCATAATTTCTTTCAGCGTAATAGTCATTGCAGCACTCCGCTGCTGACCCGACTGTCATAGAAGGTAGTCAGTGGTGGTCACATTTTGCATTAGATATAAGATGCATTCCGACCTATTTTGCTATCAAGGTAAAAAAAAAGGCAATTGAAAAGTTTTAACGCATAGTTATGGATGAAAGATAAGTAAGGAAGATATATCGCCATGGAGCTAGAAATGAGATAAGTGGCCTAAAAGGTGTAACGTGGTAACTCGAACAGTCTGTGTGCCATCGCCTGGAAAAGTAAGTAGTCTGTCGGTACTTCCGAACACAGCAGTTCTCTAATTTTTGTGAAAGTGTAAATGCAGTGGAGAGTGCACTCTTCTCGTGGAGGTGCAATTGAATATCGAAATATTGTACGAGATGCGGTGGAAGAAGAATAAATTATGATGGCACAAAGAAAAGTGCGTAGGTGCCAGCACGACACGGCCTCAATTTGAGCAAAAGGGTCTGTATTGACACCATAACTGAACCTATGATAGGACGTACAAATAAGGGTAATAATCTATCTTTGACATGTGACATATGAGTTCACAACAGATCAAGAGGTCAGTTGCATGTTTTCAATGATAACGAGTACTGCTTATCGTGTGGAGAAAGGATTGCGAATGCTTCTGATGTGAGGGTGCGCAGAAAAATACCAGGCAGCGCGATGGTTATTCTCGTGTTGTTTGTGCGACCCAATTTCTAGGTTTAAATGTCTGTACACCTGCAGCCATATTCCAAAAGACAATAAGTGATTACACAGTTCCTCATTTCTTTAAGAGGCTGGAGAAATGGGCAAAGTTTTTCTAGAAGCTATAGATGCTAATATCTATTTATGTAGCAAACTGAGTCGTCAGGTCGACAAAAGAAAAATTGCCCAAATAATATTAAATAGAAAGAAAAAAGTAGCCAACTAGATCTAGTGGCAGTAAAAGTCGCCATAAGTAGCCATGCATGTTTGAAACCGCTTTCACAATTCTATTTTCTTAAGGCGTTTATTAGCCGGCAACCAATGAGCATACACATTTGCGACAGTCATGGCTAAGCACGGACTCTCCGCGCGAGCGGCGTCCTTGTTTGGTTGGCCCACTAGGAGGTACTCAAAAGCTCGACGTATTTGAGAGATCAGAGGCTTCGCTACAATTACCCCGTGGACGAAGAGGGAGCCCCCTGGCGACCTAACAGCTTGTTACTATGAGCGGGTCATAATAAGCCTTGAGGGGCTCCAAGTTGACGATGTCACGCCTACGGCGGCGCATCTCCGAAGATTGTTCAACAGTTTCGATCAGATAGTTGACGGGAGAGGTGCGCTCGGTGACACAGTAGGGGCTTTCGTATTGTCACGAGGTCATGACGTGGCCGAAGACAGGAGACTTTGTGTTGGGATTTAACTGTTTATTTGGGCGAACCTGTGCCCAGTAAATAGAAAGTCCGATTACAGTAGCAGTCTTGCACAGATAGCAATACGGGAATTTTTATTCAACGAATAACTTGTAGGCAATATACACATACACTTCTCATAACATTGCACATAGTTGATTTTTTTTAAACTTATCAGGAATATTGACAGGGGCGCTGTGGCCGTACATTGTTGCTCAAATGAACAGGGCGTGTATTGTGATTGTGGACATGGTACAAAATGGCGGATGGGTGCTGGCGATCCATACTGATACAATATATTGGAGTGTGTCAATATACAATGGCGAACATGTATATAACGGCTTAGCATGCAAGCCTGCCCTTTCTCTTAACAGTGTTCATCCCGCAGAGTACACGCATGCACTACCTTATGGCTAACTCATTTGCACATAGTAAAAGGTAGGTTTGCAACTCTTTTGCCACCCCACCAAAAAAAGAAAAGGAAAAGAAAAGCCGGGTGGGGAGGGGTTAATAAGGCGTGACTGTGCTCAACAGTCTGCCGTTTTTAAAAAGAAAAACCTGTTATGCCAGCGGCGGAGGAACTTCTCCTCGCCACTGGTCTCAAGCTCTCTTGTGAGGTGCAGCCACACCAGAAATCTAATGCGGGATACCGCTGGGTAGGCCGCTCTAATGGTCCTGTGCTTGGCTTCCGCTAGGCATCGTTTTTGTCATATTACGTAGAGCGTGCAAGCGACCACCCACCTAGCGAATGCGCCTTCGTTACGGTCAAGAGCCGGCGGTGGCCATATGCGGAAATCGTTTGTCACCAGTCGCCAGATAGGCCTGGCCGCAGGTCATTCGAGGAGCGTGTGCTCCGCTGACTCGTCAGCACGGCAGTTAGAGCAGCGTGCGGATGGGACTACCCCAAACCGATGGAGTCTGTCCCTTGTTTGGAGGACCCCCGAATTCCTCTTCCAAACGAAATCTTTGATCTCCTTTGGTAGGGCACCCCCAAGCTTCGCCTGTTTCCTTCGCCATTTCCATACTTTGCTTCTCTACTACTCCAACATCTGGCGTCTCGTCACCTCCTACACTATACGAACCGGTGGTTCTTTGTCGACGTCGCACTCTACGACCTCCTTGTCGAGCATCCTCTTGGTGTTCGCCGCCGCCTTGTAGGAGGGGGAGGGATTTCCTGCCAACGAACCTGGGTGCCTGTCAGCTCCTAGAAAGCCATTGGTAGTAGACCAGTAGAGAAGGAGGTTTTTCCCCATGTAGTCTCCGATCCGGTGCAGGGAGCGTGCCATTTTTAAGGCAAGCACTTTGCTGGTAGTTAGCACGTGTGGCAGTGCTAGGCCCCCTTCCTTCGCGGGCAGCTGTAGGAGGCTTCTTTTTACCGGTGTCGGCTTTCCTCCCCACAGGAAGCCTGTGATGATACTGTTGAGCTTACTTGCGGTTGTCGCTGGCATCACTGCCACTCTACTCGCCAAGAACGCGAAGGCACACGTGGCAGTTTTTACAATAATGACCTTTTCTCGGAGGGTCAGCGTTAAGTGGTTGGCTCTTTCGGCAACGCATTGAGCTCTCTCCAGGGCTTTCTGCCACGTTGTGGGTGCTACGCCTTCCCCTGAGAAATAGACACCCAGGACCTATACTGTAGCGACCACTTCCATGTTACCCATTGCATTCGAGGGAAACGAACCAAAAAAGTCAAAGACTTGCTTTTCTTCTCGTTTATTCCGGCCCCCGACGCTTCGGCGTAGCGGATGTAGGTATGTCGAAACCGCTCAAGGCTGCTTCTGTCCCAAACAAACAAGGAGACATCGTCGGCATAGGCCAATACCCTCAACTCCTCATCTCCAGTCAGTGGTAGTCCCCTGAAGTGCGCATCACCTAATAGGCTCGTCAGACGGCTCGATAGATAGTACAAAAACAGTGGCGCCAAGCGGGCACCCCTGCCTTATGCCTCTGGTATAGGCAAAGCTTGCCGTTGCTATGCCATTGACGGCCACGCAGCATGTCAGGTCACTATACAGCAACTTGATAACGTGGATGACGTCCTCTGGTAGGCCAAATTTTTGCAAGACCTCAAACAGGTATTCGTGCCTGAATCTGTCGAATTCCTTTGCCTGGTCGAGCGACAGGAAGGCACCTGAGAGTCTCTTGCTGGCCGCATACTCAAAGGCATCTCTAGTTAGTGTCAGGTTTGCGAACAAGGATCTTCCGGGGACAGCGCAAGTCTGGCTCGGAGAGATGATTTCTGGTAGGAACCATTTCACACGATTGTTAATAACTGTGGCTACAACCTTGTAGTCGACATTGAGGAGGGTTATGGGGCGCCAAGATTATGGTAGGGCCGGCGGGGCCCCGTCCTTCAGCAGCAGCGCAATTCAACCTACACTGAACGATGCTGGTTTTCAGTGCTGTTTTAGCACCTCGTTCACAAGTGCTACAAGCGGTTCCCCTAAGAAATCAATAAAGGCCTGGTAAAATTGGGCTGTAATGCCATCCATTCCCGGGGCCTAGTTCGGGGACATGTGGGCGACTGCGTATCGCACCTCCTCAATTGACGCTTCACCGCACAGGGTCTCGTAAGCGCCTTCGCCAAGTCTGCGGAGGTTCCGGCAGAGATCTGCGACCGCTTGATAGAGTGAGTAGCCATCTTCAGGGGCAACTTCCTGAAAGAGGGACTTGAAATAGCTTCAGATAATGGCAGCTATTTCCGCTTGATCATCCGTGGTCGACGCGTCTGGACGCATGGCCTGTGTTATTCTAGAGCTGCCGTTACCGCAAACCTTGCGCAAGTCAGCCGTCACGTCCGTTTCGCCCGACGATCCATGCGTTCCTGAAGTCTTACGCGTCCTTTCTTGTAGGAGTCGTTTGTATTCAACTTCCAGGGATGCCAAGTAGTTCCTTGTGCAGGAGGTGAGGGTCTCTGCGCCTTTAACGATTCGCATTCTGCGTAACACTTCGGCCATTTGTGCCGTCAGGCGGCGCTTTATGTTTCTTCCTTCGCTGTGCAGGAACCTTTTTCACTCTTTTTTCAAGCTCTCCTAGACATCTGGTGTTATAAAAGGGGCTTTGGGCACCGACTTTTTCAAGAAGGGCCTGATACTTTGCAGGCAGGTTTTGTCCTGTATTAGAGTGGGGTCCAGTCGCCATGCTGAATAGTCGTGATGAGGTCCGGCTGTCGCTTTGACTGTCAACACGATCGGGGCATGATCCGTCATTCTTTCTACCCTGGAGGAGAGGGTTGCTGTTTCGCATGACACCGCTGAAGGTAGCAGGAAGTCTGGAACATAAATCCTGTCGATCCTGCTCGCGGTGGTCCTGGATACACGGGTCTGTACAAAAAGATTGTCAT